TTTAAATTTTATATATCTTCAAACTATCATCCTATTGATATAAGGCAGATATAGTGATAATTATATTATATATATTTGGATATATTTATTTGATGTGGGGTGCACCATGTGCGGGGTATGGCATCGATCACAGTAATCACGGGCGGTTACACAGATCTACAAGAAAAGTATAGATTTTTTTTATATTATTTTATCTGTTTTCTTATTAATTTACTTTTTTTTTTAAATAATATTGACTATCGTTCGTAGGTCACATTTTTCCTTGGCATCGTCATTTTTTTGGGGCCGTCGTTTCTCTGATGTCGTGTCTCTTTGGAGTCGTTGCTTCATTGGTGTCGTCGCATTTTGGAGCCATCGTTTTGCTAGTGCCATTGTCGCGCGCTTTCTCTGGTTTATTGTTTTTTGGAGCTGTCGTTTCTCTGGTGTCGTGTCTCTTTGGAGTCGTCGTTTCGTTGATGTTGTCGCATTTTGGAGCCATCATTTCACTGGTGTTGTCGTCACGCACTTTCTCTGGTTTATTGTTTTTTGGAGCCGCCATTTCTCTTTTGTCGTGTCTCTTTGGAGTCATTGTATTGTCGCATTTTGGAGCCATCATTTCGCTGGTGTCGTTGTATTTTGGGCTTCTGGTTTGGGTGAGTGTTTGTTATTAGGATTTTGTTTTCTTGCTTGTACTAACGTTCTTCTTTTTTTTTTGGTGAATTTTGCTTGTTTTCGTCTGGAATTGGGCTTCTAGTTTGGGTGGTAAATTTCTTGTTTTGTTATTTGGCTTTTTGTTTTCTTGCTTGTACGTACTAACGTTCTTCTTTTTTTTTGGTGAATTTTGCTTGTCTTTATCAAGAATTGGGTTCTGATTTGGGTGGGTATATTTCTGTGTTTGTTGTAAGACGATATCTTTCAATTCATTACGTTCTTGAACCAATGTTCGGCTTAATCGAAAGAGGCGGTTAGATTTGGCGAGTCGGGTTGGTTCCTTCTGGTAAGTATCTTTCTGTTGTACTATATTTCTTCGCTAATACTTTACTAACTTAAACTTTCTGTTCTATTAAAACCATGATCAATTCGGTACGTTGAATAGCCGGTATGTGGTATATACTGCTTACAGCTGTTTTTATAACTTCTGGAGCACCTGTAAAAAATTAGCCGAATGATTTTTGGCCGATCTGGTTAATTTATTACTTCGGTATAATAGATTAAATAAAAATTCGTACATACGCATGCACGTTGTGATGGTGAAATGTGACCTAGCTGAAGTTAAGAAAACATGATTCAAGCCACATGATTCGGGATCCGAAATGCGGATTGATCACAAAGCGAAGGCATTTAATAATACCAATTCGGGTTTGGCTTAAGGCGATGCTCCATTAAGAATAATAGTAAGGCGTCGCTGGTATTTACATGGTGAGAACTAAAGTCATTGTCATGTAAATGAGTATAAATTGCTTATCGTTAGTCATAGATCCCCCGATACTCTAAATAGCTTATAATGATCT